AGTCCTAATGCATCGAATGGAATTTGGTCCAGGCTGGGACGAAATAGGGTTTAGAGGCAAATGAGACGGTAATAGAAATAAAACCCAGAATAACAAATTAAAAACCCTCATTTACACGAATTAAAACGGCTCACAAAAGGACAGAGGCCTGGCTGGCCTCACCCTCTCCGTGCCAGGCCCGGCTCACTGAACTCTGACTCAGCCTGTGGCTTCTCCCCACTTCTGCGTGGGCTTTGGGATCACATGGAGCCCTGTCCTGCTGCCGTCCCTTCCTGTGTGAGGGCCTGGTTCAGTTTCTTAAATGCCTACATCCCTGTTGGCTTGGGGATGTGGGAACACCAGTGGCGGTGTCCACCTGACCCTGTCTTCAGCTGTGATCCACACTGCAACTTCCTGGCCTGGCTCCTCCGCAGCCCAGGAGACAGCACAAGGCCACCCAGCATGGTGCCAGCCCACAGGGACCACGAAGGAGCTCCCTTGGAGCCCCAGAGGAGCCAGCGAAGCCAGGCCCCTGCCCCAGGAGGAAGGAATGCTCAGCAGCAGGCCATCCAGGAGGCTACTGAGTACTAGGCAGGATCACCCTTCAGGTGGTCCCAGGCCCAAGCCACCTGGGTCCCTCAGGGTGGCGCTGCGGCTCCCTCTGGCTGAGGTCTAAAACCACCACACTTCCATGCAGGGGCGGGTGTGTCTCTGAGCAGCTGCACACTTGTTCTCCTAGAAGGCTCCAGGCCCCACTACCAGCCACCAGCCACCTCAGCTTCATGGAGCCTTGGGACTGCCCTGGGGACAAGACCATTCCTGGGGCCCATTTGGACAGCAGAAGGGACAGGGCTCCCACAGCCCGGCCGCTTACACCCCAGGCAGCTGGAATGCACCTCTGACCCCTGCCAGTCCTCTTAATGAATCCACTTGAACAGGAAACTTGAACTGACAGCATTTTATTATGGGCCATTAGGTGGAGCCGGATTATAGCGCTGGCCCTGTCCCCAGGGTGCACTGAGAGGGCAGATGAGCCTGGGCGCGGCAGTGTGCGCCTGTAATCCCAGCACTTGGGAGGCTGAAAACAGCGAGATCACTGAGTCCCAGCTGTATAGTACTAAATACGTAAAAAAATAAAATGAAAAGATGGCACAGGCTCTGCTCAGATTTAACACCAGACAGAACTGTGCAAGATGGGCCTAGGATGCCCCAGAGACAGATGTAGAAGGGTGCAAAGACCTGTGGCTGCTGGAGATCCAAGGATCCAACCCAGCAGTGTCCCAATGGGTCCCAGCAGGAGGCCGAGGGGTCGGGGAGGGAGGGCCGAGGGGTCCGTGCCAGGCAGCTGAAGGGTCGCTGCAGCCACGGCGTGTGTGCAGGCTGGAAAGTGCTGCTGCCGAGTGCCAGGGGGTGCCCAGGGCGCAGGCCCAGGCCGAGCTCCTCGAGGGAGGGCGGAGGCCTTCCTGGGCAGGTCAGTGACTGCAGCTCCTCTGAGCCTGGCCCTGTGGTCTCCTCTGCACCTTTCCAACCCCAGTCCTCTGGAGCGCGGGTCTTCCATGCCCAGAGCCAAGCTGACCCAGTTCGGCTGGGTGGTCCCCTCTTAAGTTGACAATCAATGGGCCGCCAAACCCTAGACTACAGCCCACCGCTGACTATGATACTTTATGGTAGGCCAGAGAAGCCCCGGGTAGGCACTGCTGTCCTCCAGGGCAAAGGCAACCCCTCTCCCCAAGGCTGAGGGGCAGCTGTGGGGGTGCCGGGCTGCCCCAAGCCACATCCCCAAGCTGAAGTTGAGAGGAAGAAAGTGAGCAGGTGGTGCATGGGTGGGTGGCATTTGCTGCCTCAGGCTGAAAGGTGGGGAGCCCAGTGACCACTCTTGCTCATAGCCTAGCCTGCAGCTGCCCCTCCAGGAAACTCCCTGCATGCCCCGTGCAAGAAGGGAAACTGAGGCACAGAGCAGCGAAGTGGCTCGTCACAGCCAGCAAATGGTAGATAGGATGTTGAGCACAGGCCTGAGGGACACAGGAGCCGGTGCCATCAGTCTTGATGCCTGCCTTAGTTACTCTTCTCTCGTTGCTGGGACAAATGCCTGACACTCAAAATGAAGGAAGGAAAGGTTTCTTTAGCTCAGTTACTGGAGTCCTCAGTCCACGCTCCGCTGGCTCCAAGGCAGAGCGGCACACAGCAGAGGGCAACCTTTCAGGGCGGCAGCAAAGAGCAAGAGCACAGGGAGAGGTAGCAGCAGCTCCAGCAGCTGGCTGCTCTTCCCACCTTACATTGTAATGCAAATTACCTGCCCCAGGGCAGGGGCAGCAGCCACACCACCAACAATCAATCACAAACTCCAGAAGCCCCCCCAAGACCGCATGAGGCTTTGGGGGACACCTAGACACAAACCATAACAATGCCACACTGGCTTTGGTGATGTCAGCCTGGAGGGCGGGGAGAAGGAGGGCAGCGGACTCAGCCCCTACTGTGCCAGGATGGCAGTGGGCACCGTGGGCACTGTGATCCCATCTTCTCGGACTGGAGGGCAGGTTCTCAGGACAGTGCCCCATGGGGGCCTGAAGAAGCAGTGGCCACACCCATTGCCCCTTCACACCTGTCTGGGCTCACTTGGGAGCCCTCGCTGCCCTCCCTCCCAGCACCTCGCCAAGCTGTGCCACTGTCTTCACACTCACAGAGTGCCTCAGCCCTCTTGGCCGCCACGCCTGTGTCCCTGCAGCCCCAGCAGGCTGCCCCGAGCTCTGCCAGCACAGCCCACCCCCTGCTCTGTCTCTCCCCACCAGCCACTGACGTCACTGAGGCAGGAGCCTGCAGGAGCCTCCTCCCCACAGATCCAGGGCCCAGGCTCAGAGAAGCTTCAAGGGCTTTTTCTTTGTGACACAGAGAATCGTTATATGGCCCAGCCTGGCCTCAAGTTTACAATCCGCACGTCTGTAATCACAGCACACGGAAGGCCGAGGCAGGAGGACCTCCAGAAGTTCAAGGCCAGCCTAGGCTACCTAGCGAGTTGAAGACCAGCTTGAACTGCATAGTGAGACCCTGTCTCAAAAATAAAGAAATAGGGCCAGGGAGAAGGCTCAGTGGAATAAGCACTTCACTAGCAAGCACAAGGGCCTGAGTTCAATCCCAAATTCTGCCAAAAAAAAAAAAAAAGTCCTTACAGCCCTCCTCCTGCCTCAGCTTCCTGTATGCTTGGAGTGACCACCATGCCCACAAGGCAGAGCAGGGGGCGTCTTCAGAGAGGAAAATGAGGCGCGTCTAGAGCAGAGCAGCAAGCACATCAGCGCAGAGCCATTGGGGCTCTCACGGAGTGCCCGAGTGCCGTGAGCACCCTCTACCCCTCTTTTTCTTTCCCCCCACACAGGGGGTTAAGGCCCCAGCTTCTTTTTATTACTTTTTTTTAAAATTTTATTTATTTATTTGTGTGTGTGTGTGTGTGTGTGTGTGTGTGTGTATGGCCAGCTCAGCCCACCAGAGGGCGGGGCTGGCTGGCATGTGGTGCTGGGGGATTGAACCACGGTCCCTGTGCTTTGCTTAGCTTAGCTTGTTCTAAGTAGGTGCTTTAGACCACTGAGCCATCTCACCAGCCCATTTATTACTTTTTTTATGAGCAGAATATATTTATTGGGGGAAAGAAAGTTCCTGTCTGAGAGAGGGACATGAGGGGGGTCCAGGTGAGTTGTCCCCCTTATTACTTTTTTTAATTATTAAAATATATTTAAAAGTAACAAACTATCACAGAGGCCTTCTTTTCCTTTTTTTTTTTGGTGGTGGTACCAAGGATTGAACTCAGGACCTTGTGCTTGCCAGGCAAGTGCTTATTCTACTGAGCCATCTCCCCGACCCTCTTTCTGCTACTTTGAGGCTGGTTCTCACTAAGTCACAAAGGCCTTGAGCTTGTGACCTTAGCCTCAGCCTCCTGAGTGCTGGGATGACAGGCGAGTGTCACCACTCCTAGAACATCTCACTTTGTCAACACACATCTGTGGGCTTAGAAAGCAGAGCGCTGGGCTGGTGTGGTGGTGCATGCCTGTCGTCGCAGCACTCGGGAGGCTGAGGCAGGAGAGCCATCAGGAGTTCAAGACCAGCCCGGGTTACAGAATGAGCTCAAGGCCAGTCTGCACTGCATAGCAAGACCATGTCTCAAATAAAATAAAATATAAAATAAAATAAAATAAAA